CTTTGGTATAATATAGATTTTACTAGAGCAGCCGTGGGCAAACCTTGGCCCGCGGGCTGGATCCGGCCCGTTTGAAATGAATAAAACTAAAAAAAAAAAGACCGTACCCTTTTATGTAATGATGTTTACTTTGAATTTATATTAGTTCACACAAACACTCCATCCATGCTTTTGTTCCGGCCCTCCGGTCCAGTTTAAGAACCCATTGTGGCCCTCGAGTCAAAAAGTTTGCCCACCCCTGTACTAGAGGCTCAGTGCACGAAATTCATGCACAGAAGGGAAGGGGGGTCCCTCAGCCTGGCCTGCACCCTCTCCAATCTGGGACCCCTTGGGGGATGTCTGACTGCCGGTTTAGGCCCAATCCCACAGGGACTGCTGGCTCCTAACCGCTTGCCTGCTTGCCTGACTGATTGCCCCTAACTGCCTCTGCCTGCCGGCTTGATCACCACTAATCACCTCTGCCTGCCAGCCTGATGCTTCTAACTGCTCCCCTGCTTGCCTGATTGCCCCTAAGTGCTCCCCTGCCAGCCTGATCACCCCCTAATTGCTCCCCTGCCAGCCTGATCACACCCTAACTGCTCCCCTGCCAGCCTGATCACCCCTAACTGCCTCTGCCTCGGCCTCCACCACCGTGGCTTTGTTTGGAAGAATATCGGTCTAATTAGCATATTACCCTTTTATTAGTATAGATTATACTAGAGGTCCGATGCACGAAATTTGTGTAAGAGTAGGCCTTCCTTCTCCTGGCTGCTGGCACTGGCTTCCCTTTGGCACCCGGGACCTGGACTTCCCTCCGGCCCCAGCTTCATCCAGTCTAATTAGCATATTACACTTTTATTATTATAGACTAGAGGCCCGGTGCACAAAAATTTGTGCACTCGGGGGGGGGGTCCCTCAGCCCGGCCTGTGCCCTCTTGCAGTCTGGGACCCCTCGGGAGATAACGACCTGCTGGCTTAGGCCTGCTGCCGGGTGGCAGAGGGCAGGCCCAATCCCTAGGTGCAGCCCCTGGTCAGGCTCAGAGCAGGGCCGATTGGGGGGTTGGGGCACCGCCCCCTGTCACACTCAAGGCAGGGTCGATGGGGAGGTTGTGGCGCCACACCCTGTCACGCACAGAGCAGGGCCAATCAGGGAGTTGGGGCGCTGCCCCGTCACGCACATAGCAGGGCCCATCAGGGGGGTTGGGGCTCCGTACCCTGTCACTCACAGAGTATGGCCGATAGGAGGAGTTGGTGCATCGTCCCTTGTCACACACAGAGCAGGGTCAATGGAGAGGTTATGGCTCTACCCTGTCACACTCAGAGCAAGGCCTGTGGAGGGGGATGGAGCGCCACCCTCTATCACCACAGAGCAGGAGCAGGGGCTAATCAGGGGGGGTATGGTGCACTTGCTCCCCTTGTCTAAACACAGTAGCAGGCAGGGGCAATTCAAGGGGGATTGGGGGGAAACTCCCCCCCTTATTAAAGGCACAGGAGCCAGGGCCAAATC